CCCCCAACACATACAATTCTAGCTCTATCTCTGATATCAGCCACAGTAATCATCTTCAACTAGACTATCCTAGTCTAATTAACCTAGAGCTTGATGAATTATATGTGCAACTACAAAGTTGTCAAGGAAAGCTAAAAACCTTAGCTAAACAGAACCTAGCAACATTAAATCATACAAACCACGCTAGTTTATAACTTCATTTTGACAAATTTTTAATAAACTTTAAATATAAAACAAATACATATTAAATGCGACAAAAAAATAAATATTGTCAAAATTAAAATATGCTCAACAACATAATTAAAGTGTACATATTCAAGTTGTGGCTTGCAATTCTTTGCGAGAATTGATATTTGGGAGATTCACTATTATTCGCAATATATGGGCTCAAATTATAAAAAAACCATATATAAAATATATTTTAGAAACACACCCAAAGCCCATTTACAACATAACAAAGAGGCTTCAAAATACCTATAAATTACAAAACTGCCATCAATTTCTTAAAACAAACCCAATCCCAAAACCTCATAAATAAAAAACTCAAAACATTCTATAGGGCATCAAAGTAATTTAATAATCAAAATTAAATTCAATAGGACCAGCTGTCATTTTTTGGGTTTGTTAATAAAAATTAAATGTTGTAGAGTTTATCTATATCACTAGTGCTAAAATTGGGTATATAACTAAATATCTCTTGATATTTTTTATTATTGCTTCTAAATCAGTAAGCAATTTTTTGTAAATATAGACAATCATATAATTCACTAGAAACTTGTTCACCATCTTGTTGCCAAGACTGTTTTAACAAGTGGGTGAGTTAGGGCTAAGGACTTTACCATTTAGTTGAAGTCGAAGGGCTTGTTTGGTACACCGTGCAAGCTTGGACTGGATTGGCTAAAGTTTTATCCCATGTTTGTTTCACCCGGTTCTAATTTTAAGTGGGATTAACTAATACTGGGCCCACCAAAAACACCTTCTTAGGTGTTCTTAGCTAAACCCGTCTGGAGAGGAGGGACTAACAGTCCCGACCAAGCAACCAACCAACAACCACACCCAATCGCCCCACAACCAACGACCCACCAAGCGGCAGCCACAAACACAAGAGGAGAGAAAATTTTAGCAAAAAAGAAAGAAAAGAAAAGTAGACAGAAGAAGAGGAGAGAAAATGGAGAAGAAGAAGATGAAAGAGATGTAGAAGGGAAGAAGAAGAAAGAGCAGCAGAGAGGTTCGTCCAAAAAAGAAAAAAAGAGATGCAGAGAGGAAGAAAGAGATGGAGAGAGAAGAAAAGTAAAACATATTTAAAAAAACCTTACTTTTCAACACCAAAAAAAAGTAGTCCTAGTCCAATCAAACATACACCAAACGCTGTACAAGTGTTATCCAACTTATGCCAGGCCAAGCCAATCCAAGACAGTACCAATATTTAATCCAGTCCATGACAGTCCCCCGTACCAAACGAGCCCGAAGTGTTTTGGTTGGGATTGAGAAAACAAAGTCGTGATCTCTGTAAGGGGAGAGGGTTGTCAAACTGATAAGTTCTTTTATTCTAATGTGTATATTTATTGTTGCCCTACAACTACATTCATAAAGAATTAGACTTTTTTTAACTTTAATAGGTTAATACATATTGGACTATATTTAAAATAACTCATTTATAGGCTATATTTTTTTCCCCCAAAAACTTCCGTGGGCTGTAGCCCACCACAGCCATTGAAGTAGTTAATTTAATCGACATGCAGTGCAGCCTCCGTAATATTATATACTGTGTAGATATATATATATATATATATATATATATATATATGGTGGACTGTAAAGTCGTCAAGACTTTGCCTCCTAACGCATATTAAATTTGTCATTGCTGTCCTATTTCTAGATCTGTTTTACATACTTCATTAAGGCTCCTATATATATCATCATTAATGCTCCTATGCAACAGCCTGAAAAGAAGAAATTAGACGTATATGGCTAAGCCACAAAGCTCCTACCTTGTGTGCCTAGCATTTTCTTTAGTTTTCAATCTATTATTGATCTCTAAACTATATGTGGGTAGAGAGTGGGAACTGAGTTGGAGCAGAAGGGCAGCAGAAGAAGCTGAGTATGTGGCAGCCATCTCTTGCTCAGGGCATGGAAGAGCCTACTTGGATGGGTTAACTCTTGATGGCAAGGAGCCTGTTTGTGAATGCAATTCTTGCTATGGAGGCCCTCACTGCTCTGAGTTTTTGACTGGTTGTGCAGCAAATGCTGACAGGTCTCTCTCTCTCTCTCTCACACACACACACACAATAAACACACTATTCTTAGCTAGTTTGGGAGCTTGGGAAATTCGGAGGGCAGAAAGGTTGTACTGAAAAGAAAAAAATTAGCCTAGAAGTTGTTAATTCAGAAAATTTGAACTAGGAAGCTTAGGAAAGTCCAGCAATAAAAATAAAAATAAAAACAATACATAACTGAAAAGTCTAGGGGATGTGAAAAGCAATGTTTAGTTTAATTATTAACATATTTAGTGCATTTCTAGGGACTTGGTTTTTTCCTTTTATTATGGAATTTGGAGCCGTAAAAGATTCCAAAAACAAAATTCACATGACATATATTAGTAATGTAATGTTTTAAAATAAGGGTCTTTTAGATCATCACGAGGGTTATTCCTAATAAACTCTAATACTTTTGGATTTATATCTAATTTTCTAATTTATATTTAGGATAAAATATTCCCTCATATATACAATGGACAAAGAGTAGTGGATGGTAGCTATACGTATTTCTCTAAAAAGAATTATACCATTCATCAACAAGGGATCTTTTTTGGCACCATCTCCTCGTCATGCTTCTTAGGGCTAGTTTCTAGATATGAGTAAATAGTCCATGTCAGTTGTTTAGTGTCAACTTGTATTATTTAATTACTTGACTATTTTAAATGGGTTGGGCTTTTAATACTCTCCTTACCTGACTAACTAATACAACCCACACACTCCAGTTTAGATAATACACACTTAATTATACGGTTAGGATAAAAAAACACACACGTTCACGTGAAAAATTCTATTTTCATCTTCTTCTCCCTAGGGTTCTTCTCTACTATCTTCTCCACATGTTATTCTTTTCACTCCTCTCCAGGTATCCATCTCTCTCTCTCTCTCTCTAACTTGCTTCTTCTCTCTTATCATGTGTTCATCTTCTCTTTCTTTATATATTTCCTCTTTTATTAAATCTTGTGGAAATTAGGTTATGAGTTTTTATTTTTGTGGAAATTAGGTTAGGAATGTAATTGCATCATGGAATTATTTATTTGTCTATGTTTTGCATTGAATTGAAACTCAATGTTTCAGAGAGCAACCAAAAAGCTTGGGTTTGTTTGCTGGGGAGTGGATGAGTTTGGATGAGTTTGGTTCATAATCAGTTTTCCAAAATTCAAACTTCAGTTTGGTGGATGAGTGGATTGTTCGATTTAATTTGGTGAATGCTGGAAATTAAATTTTAGTTAACTAAAACGTATTTAGGCAAATTCATGATTATGGATGGATATATGGGATTAATGGCAAGAAGCAGTGAGTAAATTAAAAGCCCTTTTAACTTCCCATTAAATTACTTCATTTCCCTATGAATTTAAATTTTCATTAAATTATCAAAGAATTTTTTTTAAAAAATAGTCTTATCTGATGCTATCCGGAACAGCACCAAACACAATATAACTTAGTTAGACTATTTATCCGGAACAACACCAAAAGCCTTATAATATTATGGATAAACAGTTAGTACTCTCCGGAAAATATTAATACTATCCTACAGAAATTAGTTAGTACAGTCCGACGTACCAAACGAGCCCTTAAATGCTTCTACTAGCTTTCAAATGAACTATTGCTCTTCAGTCTATGTCAAGTCAGTCATACAACACTACGTACTGTGTAAGGATAATGTTTCAGTGTAGTATTTTTTTCTTTATACAAATGATATCGAGGGAAAGGAATTCAAACACAAAATCTCACATGCAAAGGACTATGGAGCCAAAAAAATTTGGTAGGACGGGTTCATATTTCTTTTTTCTTTTTACTGGATATATTAGTTACTTCCATAAGTGACCACCAAGATTTCTGTCACCATGTCAAGAATAGGGTAATACAAACTTTATGATCATCATCATCAGCTCATGTGTGTTGTTGGATGCAGTGGGGATCCATATTTCTTGGAGCCATTTTGGATGCAACATGCATCAAAAAGTGCACTTGTAGTAGCAGGTTGGCATCGAATGAGCTATACCTTTGCTGATCAATCTTACATCTCAGCAGAGCTTGAGAGGCACATTCGCAAACTTCATGCCATCGTTGGAAATGCCGTGACTGGAGGAAAATACATTGTTTTTGGTGCTGGCTCAACCCAACTTCTCAATGCTGCAGTTCATGCACTTTCTTCCCATAATTCAAGCTCCTCCTCCTCGCCTGCAAGTGTTGTAGCTTCAATTCCTTATTATAATGTGGGATCCTAACCTACTGCTTACATATTTTACGTACAAAGAATAAATAAATAAACTTGTATCATCTCAAGAAATCATCTTCTGTATTATCTCTCTATAGTATATAGATAGTATTAACATGTGTAAGTGTGTGTACCTACTACATACAAATATACTGCTGACTGATATATACGGTTTTGATGTTGGATTTTCCCAGCTTTACCAAATGCAAACGGAGTTTTTTCGATCGACGGACTATGTATTTCGTGGAGATGCATCCTTGTTGCAGAACATCTCAGATGCTACTAATGTTATTGAGTTTGTTACCTCACCAAACAATCCTGATGGCCAGCTGAATAAGGCAAATGTTCAAGGTCCAAATGCCAAAGCAATCTATGATCGTGTCTATTACTGGCCACATTTTACAGCAATTCCTACTCCAGCAAATGATGATATCATGATATTTTCAATTTCTAAGCTCACTGGCCATGCTGGCAGCAGATTCGGGTACGTAACGACCTAACCATCATTTTCTTGCATATCTTTTCACTTCTATTTATTTTATTTTATTTATTAACTTTATCACCTTGCTATTATTGGGGACTTCTTTCCCTTCTATATCACATATATCCAGAACGAAAAATACAGAAAATGCACTACATCTACGACGCTTTTTGACATTTTTATTGAGTTACTATAGCATAGAGTCGGCTTCATCCAAAAAGACTGAAAACACGGACACCATTAAAAGGAGAAATATCATTAGTCCAAGAGCTACTTGGTACAATTTTTCCAACTACATATGTAAATTTAGTTACAAAAGTTGAAATGCACTACTAACAAGCTATCTCAAAGTACATGTTACAAAAACTTGCACATTAAATAACGTTGATTATTGTGCAACTTAAAGGATAATTAGTAAGAAAAATAAATATGTTTTTTTTTTTGGTGACCTTTTCTATTGATTGGGGTCATATATAATATACTAAACTTACACACACTACACGGATGTCAGGACTCGAACCCATGACCTTTCGTGGAGGGAGCAATTGCTCCAAACCACTACGCTAGTGGGTCCTTTGCTAGTATATGTTCTATACAAAAAGACAAAGCCCCTATTCAATTTTCCATTTAGTCATCGAGTTGAAAATAAAACCCTTTGCGGTAGCTATATTTGTTCTTGTGGCTCTTGCGTACAGGTGGGCAGTGGTAAAGGATGAGTCTGTGTTCCAAAAGATGACCATGTATACGCTCATAAATAGCATGGGTATTTCTCGAGATGCTCAGCTGAGAGCTTTGAAGGTTTTGAACGTAGTCCTTGAAGGGGGAGGAAAGGATATTTTTGAATTCGGATATAACACTTTGAGAAAGCGTTGGGAAAAATTGAGCAACATCCTCTCTGTATCAAATCGCTTTAGTCTGCAAAAATTTGCACCCAAATACTGCACCTTTTTCAAGAAAACCAGAGGACCTTCACCAGGTAACATCCTCATCACTATTATTGTTGTGTATTTTTTGTAACATACATTTCTTTCATCATGGAATAATTGTTAACCCTTTTGTTCACTTACGACCTAGATTTGCAAGGTCGTGTATTTAGGTGGTATTTTTGTCATTTTTGTGAGATTACGGGCGTGCCACTATTTTTACAATATTACAAACATAGAGAGAGTGGCAGAGCTAGAAGCTAATTAATATGTGGGGGGCCCAGTACTATAAATTCAAAATTATATAGAGTTATATTTTAACTAATATTGCATATAATACTTCAGAAATAATGGGATTTGTTGAGAATTAATGACTAACTCACTGCCCTTTTAAGATCTTGTTGTTGATGGACTTTGGACAAAGAACTCAATGATGGATGAGTCTTACACACACACACAGAAATTAACCAAGCACAAATGACACAAGTGTTTATAGAGGTTCAGCAAATTGCCTACATCCTCTTTGGTGATCACCTTGAGAAATTTCACTAATGAAGATAGGTTACAACTTTGGTTTACAAAGGAAACCCCCTTAGAACACTACCCTCACAATCTGTTTCTCTCACACCCTTGCTCAACACCTTGATACACTTAGAGAACTCTCTTGCTCTCACCTTGGTTTTTCTGAACAAAGCTCTCTCAAGAAACTCTAACTTGTTTCCAGCTTTTGCCACTACATTTGTTCAACATTCTTTCTCCCTTGTGTTATCTTACTTCATCCCATTACCTACACAGGCCAATGGACAAGAGATAGGATATCTGATTGTCCTCCACGTTCTTCCCTTTAGTCACCACTTAGACTAAATGTCAGATCAAATAGGTAAATAGAATCCAACTCAGCCACCTCCCACTTACACCAAAAATGGAGAGTGATATCTTTGAAATAAGATAACCAACTAGCCATGAGTGCTCTCCCAACTTATCCAGCACGTAGTCAACATTCATTTAACTCAGAAGTGACCCACAAAGCTTCTGAAATCATGTGGAAAGCGATAGCCATCGAAAACACAGTTGAAAACACGTAAGGAAACGTCACAGCACGACTGGAGCGACCGGTCG